ACGGCCACTATTATTGCTACTACGAAAACTAGTACTTCTACTACTACGACTACTTCTGCTATTACTACGTTTGCTACTAGGACTACTGCTGCTACTATCAATACGACTACTACTACTACTACTACTACTACTACTACTATTACTACTACTACTACTACTACGACTATTACTACTATTACTACTACTACAACTACTACTACTACTACTACTACTACTACTACTACTACTACGACTGCTACTACTACTACTACTACTACTACTACTACTACTACTAGTACTCCTACTACTAATAATAATCATACGTCTACGACTTTTACTACGACTACGATTACTACGACTATAGCTAGGACTACTACTACTTATACCATTATTGCTGCCGTTACTACTACTACTACTACTACTACTACTACTACTACTACTACTACTACTAAGACTACTACTACTACGACTACTACTACTACTACTACTACTACTACTACTACGGTGGCTATTACTATTACTAGTACTACGATCACCACTACTACTAGCACTCCTACGACTACTACCACTACGACGACGACGACGACTACGACTACTAGTATTACTACTACTACTACTACTACTACTACTACTACTACTACTACTACTACTACTACTACTACTACTACTACTACTACTACTGCTCCGTGTATTACTACTTCGAATGCTACTGTTACTCCTCCTCCTCCTCCTCCCCATCCTTCTCCTGCTCCTCTTCCTTGTTCTCAGTATCTTCCTCCTCCTCCCTCTCTCCTCATGTCCCCCCTCCTCCTCCTCCTCCGCCTCTTCCTGTCCGACAGATTCATCCTCGTCCTTCTCTGCCTCCTCCGAGCGGCGCGACTACCCATGGATCGCTAATCGACGCTGGTAAGTGGTGAACTTTCTGTTGAAGCGTAGCACAGGGCTCACTCCTGTGCCCTTTCAGATTTGCCTCTCGTTATCTTCAGTCGACTGAATCGTCTGCAGTGCGTCTGCACTGCGTCTCCGTCTTGCGAACGCTGTACGGCCTCAGGTGCGAGTTGCCCCCTCAGTCCAGCCACCTCACGTGCGGGTCTTAAGGTCGATGGCGGCAGTCATTCGACGTTCAATGTATACAACGTCTCTTCATCTTCATCTGGCTCATCCACACCCTCGTCATCAACGGCAACGCTCTCATCAACATAATCGGCACCGTCGATATCAACAACCTAGTCAGATATTTCATCATCGGTCACGCTGCCGTCATCCTCACCATCGTCATCAGTACCTACCGCCATGCACCAAGACGCAAACAGATGTAGAGACTTCGTTCCAGGCTGGTTACGTGGCAGCGGTGCGCTCAGCTAGTATAGGCCGCACGTTCTTCCCGCTCATGTTCTGAACCTTCACCGTTCGTTCCTTCGCTCATTCTCGCCGTCGCAGCACTGTTCCGTGTCCTGGCCCCCCTCCTCCTCGTCCTCCTTTTCCTCCTCCTTATGTTCCTTTTCCTCTTCGACATCATCACCATCATCATCATCATCATCATCATCAGCATCAGCATCATCAGCATCATCAGCATCATCCTGATCTTCATCATCATCCGCATAGTCATCAGCAGCATCATCATCTTGTTCTCCGCCTCCGCCTACGCCTCCTCCTCCACTTGCACTGATCCCCCTCCTCTGCTCCTACTCCACCCTGTCCTATTCATCCTCCCCACGATGCTACTCCACTGCTCCCCACTCCGCCCTTCTCATACTTCTCACCCGTCCTCCCCTGCCCGTCCTCCCCATTCCCCTCCTCTGCTGCGCATCCTCGTACTGTCCTCCTCCTCGTCCTCCTCCTCGTCCCCAGCCCCCTCTGTATCTCTTCTCCTCCTCCTCCTCGTCCTCCTTGTCATCCTCATCGTCCTCCTACTCGTCCCCCTCCTCGTCCCCTCTCCTCGTCCTTCTCCTCGTCTTCCTCCTCCTTCTCCTCCTCCTCGTCGTCCTTCTCCTCCTACCACGCGTCCTCTACCACGCAGCCTCGCACTGTCCTCTTCCGCCTCGTCCTCCTCGATCCGCTCAGTGCCGGTGAACCCTGCCTGTTGCCCCGCGTGCTTCCTCCTCGCCCTGCGCCCGCTCGGTCTCCCAAATCCTCTCCCCTCTTCCTGAGTGCTTACAGCCCGAGCCGCCCGTTTTTTTTTTAAGTGCGATGAGTTTCGCCTCGAGGGAGAGGTATCGGGGAGGGGTATCATCGTCATCATCATCATCAGCAGCATCCGCATCCGCATCAGCATCCGCATCCGCATCGGCATCATCATCAGCAGCAGCATCATCATAGTCAGCATCAGCATCGTCATCAGCAGCAGCAGCAGCAGCAGCATCATCGTCGTCATCATCAGCGTCATCATCAGCAGCAGCATCAGCATCAGCATCAGCAGCAGCAGCAGCAGCATCATCCTCCTCCTCGTCATCAGGAGGGGTATCGGGGAGGGCTTTCGCCTCGCACGCAAGGCGTGACGCTTCCTCCGCCTGCTCCTGCCGCATACGCTGCGAGACCGCACGGAGGGGTCGGCGGATATGCCCGAAGACCAGATGCTCGTGAAGATGATGGGCTTCAGCGCGTTCGACAGCTCCAAGGGCAAAGACCACAGCGGCAGCGACCTCAGCGACGTGAAGCGCGCAACGAAGCGCCAGTACCGGCAGTACATGAACCGGCGCGGAGGTTTCAACAGGCCTCTGGATGCTGCGTTCTGACCGCGCAGCTCGCGGCGCGTGCCTCTGCATGGGGGGGCGCGGCGGGCGGGAGGGTGAATGCGGCGAGGAGGGGAGGGAAGGAGAAGGAGCAGGAGGGGGGGGGGAGCGGGAGGAGGGGACGTCTGCGTGCTACTTGCATGTTGCCCTGTGCTCGTTGACCCAGTCAGTTCGACTGCGAGTGCAGCAGCAACAGCAGCAGCAGCAGGAGGTGCCGCAAGGAGGAGCGAAGGCTTGCGGAGCGTGGTGTGGTGGGGGGAGAGGCGGCGAAGTGAGGCGACCGGCAGCCTCCTCTCGCAGCGAGCTGGCAAGGCCTGCGCCTCTGACCTGCAGCCCAAGGCTGGCACCGAGGTGACGGGCGCCGCTCGAGGAGCGAGGCACACAGGCTCGCGGCGTGGCGACCGGCGGCGACCCCGCCGCGGGCGTTCGAGGCTGAACGCCGCCAGTGGCCCAGAATCGGCCTGCATGGAACGATCGGGCGCTCGGAAAGCCGCCGATCGTTCAGGGCTGAAGGATCGACGCGGTGGCAGAAACCAGCGCCGAGGCCGTCGCGACGCGAGCCTGCCCCAGGCAGGAGTGCCCGCCTCGCTTGCCCGCGGTTGCGCTGCCCTTGCTTTATGTCGGGCGTGTCCCCGTACAAGGGGATTTTCGACGAAAAACAAAGAATACCCCGAAAATGCCCCAAAGAGGCCAAAAGATATCCAAAAACAGTCCCCAGACTTTGTTTTGGACTAGTCTTGTTTTTTGGGGGGTATTTTTTTTTGTTTCTCGTCGAAACTCCCCCTTGTAGGGGACAGGCCCGACTTGAACCTTGCTGCAGCCGGCTAACACTCCTCCTGCCTCTGCCTGGGCCGAGCCCGCGGCACGGGCAGAGCTGCGCGGGCGCGCCTGCTCCTCCGCCGAGCTGGTCGTCAGTGCAGAAAAAACGTCGAGGCGGCCTCCCCCTCCTCCTCCTCCTCCTCCTCCTCCTCCTCCTCCTCCTCCTCCCTCCTCCTCCTCCTCCTCCTCCTCCTCCTCCTCCTCCTCCTCCTCCTCCTCCTCCCCTCCTCCTCCTCCTCCTCCTCCTCCTCCTCCTCCTCCTCCTCCTCTCCTCCTCCTCCTCCTCCTCCCTCCAAAGAAAGCCCAGGGGCACCCGAGTGGGTCCCTATCCCCATCCCTATCCAGATCTCCCCCCCATCTCAGCACCCCAGTTGGGGATATACCCCTGGAGACCCGAAGGAAACGGATTATATCCCCATTAGAGTGCAAATCGACCAGTGGGGCCTAGGCCACCCCCATAGGGGATAGGGATGCTCACCTCCCCCTCCCTCCCTCCTCTCTTCCTCCCCCTCTCTCCCTCCCTGCCGTCTCCCAGCGCCTCCGTCTCCCCCACCCTCTTCCATTTCCCCCTGGCCTGCCCGCCCCCAGCCCTCGACGCCCACTCTCTATCCCCTCCATTCCCTTCTCCCCTCCCTCCCCCTCCCCCCCCTTCCCCTCCCCTCCTCCCCCTTTCCCCTCCCCTCCCCTCTCTCCTCCCCTCCTCCTCTCCCTCCCGCCCCTCCTGCCCTCACCCCATTCCCCCTCCCCCGTCCCATCCTCCCCCTCCTCGCCTCTTCCCCCCCCTCCCCTCCCCTGTCGTTGCAACCCTGTTATTCAAGCGGCGCCTCCCGCCAGTGAGAGGCTGGCCTGGCAGGCGCTAGCACCATGCGGGCCAGGACGAACCCATGGTCCTACGTGGTGCGCGCTCCGTTCCCCCCCTCCTTCCCCTCCCCCAAGCCTCCCTCCACCTCACACGTCGCCGCGCCGTTTGTTCGGACGCGCGGCCTCCCGTCGTTGAGAGGGCGCCTCGACCACCAAGGCAGACTCCGCCCCGAACGCCAGGGTTCGCCGCGGCGTCTGCCGCGGAGCCGACTTCGTCGGCCACAGCAGGGGCTGGCCTGGTCGACGAGCGAGACCTGCTCGCCTCTTGAGCACTTCAGGTTTGGAGGGCCTGCCGCGTTCTCTCCCTCCGAACGCCGCCACAACGGCGCGGCGACGCGTGTTCTCCTTCCTCCTATCGTCCCCCTTCTGGCGCAGCGGAGGAGGAGAAGCGCCACCGCTCCTCGCTGCCAGCCGCTCCTTTGGAGCGTGGGCCCCCTTTCGCCCCGTGCCCTGTGCTGTACGCAGTGCCTTGGCAGCCCCTCCTCCCCTCTCCTCCCTCGTCCTCCTCGTCCTCCTTCTCCTCCGCCTCCTCCTCCTCCTCGTCCTCCTCCTCCTCCTCCTCCTCCTCCTCCTCATCGTCATCATCATCACCGTCATCACCACCACCATCATCAGCATCATCAGCATCGTCGGCATCATCTGCATCATCATCACCACCACTACCATCACCATCATCATGATCATCAGCAGCATCATCATCACCAGCAGCATAATCATCATCAGCATCATCATCCTGGTCGTCGTCACCATAATCATCATCGCCATCATCGTCCTCATCAGCTTCATCATCATAAGTTTCATAATTAACATCACCATCATCATTATCGTCATCATTGTCATCATCATCATCATCATCATCATCATCATCATCATCACCATCACCATCACCATCATCATAATCATCATCATCATCATCAGCATAATCATCATCATCATCATCATCATCATCATCATCATCATCATCATCATCATCATCATCATCATCATCATCGTCATCGTCATCGTCATCGGCATCGGCATCGGCATCGGCATCGGCATCGGCATCGTCATCATCGTCTTCATATACAACACAATCGCATGGTTTTGTTTGTCTCGCACCGAGTGACATGCGTATCAGTGTTGACCTGCCGGGGCCCGACACCGTGTGCTCTCGCACTCTCGATGCGCAGTCCTATCTGGAGCTGCCTACGCAGCAGTAGGAGTCGCAGCAGTGGTGGCGCCTGCAGCACCGATGACTCCAGCTCCTGTGGCCGCGCGACCCTGCATTCTCGACGTGCCGCCTTCGGGGTGCAACCACTGGAGCGCGACCTGCCCAGACACCCGACGCCGTGAGCTCCTCGAGACGGCTTCCCCCTAGGCCTGGACCTTGCCCCCCGGGGCCGGCCCTGCGTCCCGGTTCGTTCTCTGACGGTCCCGGGACCCGGCGAGGCCCCCCAGAGGCCGAAAACTAGGAAAGAGGTCCGTCCCCAGCCTCCAACGTCTCGAAAAACTCGAGACCATGCAGATCTTTTCGTAGCTTTCGGCCTCCGGGGGGGCCCCAGGACCGTCCAGGAACGACTCGGGATGGAGGGCCAGCCCCATGGGGGGAAGGTGCAGGCCTCGGGGGGGAGCCGTCTTGAGAAACTCACGACGTCGGATGTCTGGGCATCGAGTTCCTCGAGACGTCCTCCTCGTCCTCCTCGCCCTCGCCGCGCGCCGCGGCGGCGAGCGCGCGGCCGCCGCGAGCCCCGCGGCGAGCCCCACGGCGGCCGCAGGGCGGCTCGCCGCGGCGAGGGCGGCCGCGGCTCGGCGCGTCTCGGCGCCGTCTCGGCGCCGGCTCGGCGCTGGCTCGGCGCGGCTCGGCCGGCTCGGCGCGGCCGGCTCGGCGCGGCCAGCTCGGCGCTGGCTCGGCGCCGGCTCAGTGCGCCGGCTCGGCGCAGCTCGCCGGCTCGGCGCCGGCTCGCCGGCTCGGCGCCGGCTTGCTGGCTCTGCGCCGGCTCGGCGCGGCTCGGCGCCGGCTCGGCGCCGGCTCAGTGCGCTGGCTCAGTGCGCTGGCTCGGCGAGAACGGTCAAGAGACTGCTCGAGAGGATCGGCGATGCGGCGACCGTGCGGCGTCGGCGCGCCGGCGACGCCAGCGAAGGCGTTCCAGGTGGAGTTCTGCGGCGCGGAGGCACCGATGGATTCGGTAACGCCACGGGGCCGGACTGGATTCAACCTTAAACAGTCGGGGCCGCTTCAAGGTTGAACCTTTCGCCGGAGTGACCTCTGGTGCGGGCCCACGGGGGTCACCCCCAGCACTGGACGGCACGCTTGGAAGTTGCGCCCCCGCGGCCCCCTGAAGCCGCGCACCAGGGGCCACTCTCTTGCCCAGGCTCGCTCTTGCGTGCAGCCGAGATGGCAGGCCGGCCCTGCAGGGTATGGATCGGGATCTCCCGGGGCCCGCACTGGGCGAGGAAGCGGGGACGGGCAAGCGCCGGACGACGGCCAAGAAGCCGCCAGCCAGCGCTCGAGGCGGCGAGGAGGCGGCGACGGGCGCGCCCCCTGCAGAAGGCTCGGGGCCCGTGTGCATCGCTGCGGCCGCAATTGGGAGCCCTTTAGCGCAAGCAGTGCCTGGGGAATCCACGAGGCCGATGCTGCACCACCCGCAGCAAGGTGCGGTGGCTCCGAGCGCGCACGGATCGTGGGAGCAGCACGTGCGGGAGTGCGCTGCAAGGCGGCAAAGGCAAGAGTCGCTGACGCATCGCGTGTCTCCGCCAGCCCGTCCAGGAACGACTCGTGGGCGAGCAGTCGCCTAAGGTTCGTGGGCGAGCTATCGTGAGAGAAGGGAGGTCCAGGAGGAGCGCGAGGCCAAGACGAAAGGCATCAGTGACCTGGATGGCAGGGTCAGAGCCAGAGGAGCCCCCAGCAATGGCCCACTCGGGGTCCTCCTGGGGGTCTCTTGGAGGCCTCGCGAGGACTCCTGGACAGCGCCCCTCGGGGCCCCATGTTGGGCGGGGCCCCTGCGGCGTGCTCTCCGGGGCATATTTGGGGGGCGTCTGCTCTCCGGGATCCTAAAAGTTCGACTCTGCAAATTCAGCGCCTGGGCCCCCGGGGGAGCCCGAGCCTCCGTGCCTCCGTGCTCCCCGGCCC